CCCAAAATGTTGTGTCCATTGCAATATTTTGAGCAACACTGAGCTCTTACCCTGATAATTGAACTCTCACACTCTGCTCTTACTGGTGCAATGTGCAGTTAATGAATATTGGCCACCAGGCTGGTCCAATTTAGCCATGAAACCTCCCACACTAAAATGACAGGTGTTTCTGTTTCATTGCCTAACCCCTGTATGGTATTATTTCCTATATGAGCATTACCTGCCACTCCAAACGGTCTTCTCAGACCCAAAGTCAGCTTCTTGGTGTTGTTGTCTCGCAGCTCCATGCGTCCAACTCTGACAATCTGACACACAAAGCTGATCTTCTCCCTCTTTAAATCTTCACTGCCCAAATCCTGAAGAGAGGAGGTGATAAAGAGAGCTGATGAGTTACCCCTATCATGCTGACCCTTGAGCCTCCATTATACCGAGGTGACAGCCTTGGTAAATATAAACAGCGTGTCAGGATCTTACTGACAGAGCTTAACAAACACGGGCCATCAGCAAACAGGCTCCCAAATGCCTCATAACATGGCTGAATAAACTGTCATCAGACACACACACACACACACACACACACACACACACACACACACACATAAAGAGAAACATCTACACTATCAAACACTCACCGTGAAAACCGCCCGCAGATTATGAAGCTGGTCGATGTCTTTCACCAAACCTGAGCTCGACCATTTCACCAGGTAGTTCTCGCTGTAATGAAAAAAAAAAAGAAAAATGCTCACATTTACGATTTTTTATTTCTACTCTTTCTGTCAGACGTTTACCGGCCAAAAAATAGCCCAAAAAATGACACACGGGTTTGTGATTTGACTGGCAATTTTTGTTTTCTGTCTGTCATTTTTATGTCTTTGCCAAACAACCAAAAGAAACTGTGCTGAAGATATACACGTTAAATACAATTATTTATAAACSTTCTACGTTATTAATGCCAAATCTGCAAAGTGAGCAAATAAACAGATTTAAAAATGAAAAAACAAGCACTTTGCATAAATCCACTGTGATTCCAGACCCATCCTTCTTTTCAAAGAGCCTCAAATCTTTAGTGTTAAAATGGCTTTTCTAGTCATCTCTTCAATCTAAGCTCTCCTCCACACCTCTTAGATGAGATTCAGCACAGAATGCATTAGGGACATTTTTTAAATGTTTAAAATGCACAATCTAAAAATGACCATTTGTCAGCTACAGGGATAATGTCACTGATTGATGGCTCAATCTTTATTTGTGTGAATGGGTGAATGTCTGTTAGTGTAAAGCGCTTTGGGGTCCGGAGGGACTTGAAAAGCGCTCTATAAGTTCAGTACCATTTACCATTTACCATTTATTTCCAATTCCTCCTGCAATCTCTGCTCCATTTCCACAAACTTTTAAACTAAAAACAACTTCTGAGTCGCAACAAACTCTTGTTTAAGACAAGTTTTCATCAATGTTTGAGTTGTGCAGTAAACTAGTCCTGATTTTGTTTTCCTTTTGTAAAGATCTGTGAGACCACTCTTTCCTCTTCTGGGAAGACTCAAAGGGGTCTCAGGCCAGTCGAAAGACAGACTCTCCATCATGTCCTGGGTCCTCCTCTTATGACCCTTTTCCACTAGCGTCTCTACAGTCCTGTTTGACTTGGCTCTCCACGGTTCCAAGGCTTTCCACTARTAACGATTTGAGAAACCAGCCCCTTTTTCAGGACTTAGGGTGTCGCTGTGGTTCCAAGTGTACCGGCTGGCCTGAAAACACGATGTCAGAAAACTGTCAGGCACTGATTGGCTACGGGGTGGAGTCACTGGTTGCATCACAAGAGCTACTCTTACAACAACCCAATCCACCATTTGCAAAAACAACGCTACCATGTCTTCCATTGTTGTGTTGCAGATCTGTTCTATGTCTTCTTCTACTATGTTGAATGGTGGCTGAAAGCTTAATGAAGCATAACCGCCACAGCTGGTAAGGCGTGTGGCGTCAATTTTTGGGCTTTGGGACCGCCCAATTTTACAATGAACCCACCCACTAGAGCTGTCACTGAAGTGTAATAAAAAAAAAAACACCCAAATCATGCTGAACAGAGTTCAGCCAAGTCGAACAGTGTTGTAGAGGTGCTAGTGGAAAATTCTAATTCAAAAACACTTTATTGATCCCAGAGGGAAATTAAGTGTTGTTGTAACTCATTTAATTAAAGAGTTATTGTAGATGCTGATTGCTGTGGGCAGGAAAGACCTTCTGTAGCATCTGTATTACACTGAAATTGAAGAAGCCTCCGACTGAAGACACTGTTTTTCTATGACAGTCTGATGAAGAGGATGGCCAGGGTTGTCCATGATGTTCTTGATTTTTTGTAAAGTCTTTTTTTTTTCGCATTTCCACAAGTTTCACAGTCATCCCCAGAACAGAACCAGCCTTCTTTTTAGGTTGTTCAGCCTTTTGAGGTCCCTGGCTCTGATGCTGCTGTCCCAACAGATGACAGCAGAAGGTATAATGCTCAACAACAGACTGAAGGATCTCAGCTTCCTCAAGAAGTMCRRTCTGCTCYGTCCTTTCTTGTAGACTGCTTCACTGTTGAGTCTCCAGTCCAGTCTGTTGTCCAGATGAACACCGAGGTATTTATATTTCTCAAACACCTCCACTTCTTCTCCCATGATGGAAAAAGGGCCATTAGTCTCCTCCCAGTCAGACATGCCAGAGGAACTTCCCTAGGGAGGCGTCCAGGAGGCATCTTGATCAGACGGTCGAACCACCTCAATTGGCTCATCTCGATGTAGAGGAGCAGTGGCTCTACTCTGAGTCTCTCCAGGATAACTGAACATCTCACCCTGTCTCTAAAGGAGAGTCCAGCTACCCTGCCGAGAAAACTTATTTCAATCGTTCATATCTGCGATCTTGTTCTTTCAGTCACTGCCCTAAGTTTGTGACCATAGTTGAAAGGAAAGTAGACTGTTCAGTAAGCATGATATGTCAAATTTAAAAACACATTGAATGGACTTGCGATACCAGTATCAATATTGGTATCAGTTCTGTTTATCAAGGCATTTTTTACGAGTAGGAGTCATTGTGAAAATGCTGGTACCAATACTGGCGTCAGTACTGGGACACCACTAGTGTTGTTGTATTTTCCACAATAAAAAGAGTCTATTCAATATTCCAGATTAGTTGCCACAGTCTGGTCTCAGTGCCAAACTAAAAAGCTTGAATTGGTTTAAAACAAATCAGAGCATTTGTCTTTGCTAGAAAGATGGGGTAAGGCAGTTGAGAAAATGATCTTATATGTGAGACGGCAAAAAGCCTCAGTGATACTGACAGACAATGTAATCTCCAACAAAGCTCATGGATTTACTTGAGATAATTTGGTGTCACATCCTTGAAATTTGAAAAGAAMAAAAATATTCTTGGACAGCAGGATCAACTTGTTTTGACTGCATTTTTTATGTCTATGTGGGGAAAAATATATGAAGACCTGTGTGTTTACCTGATAAACTTGGACTCCATCGGATCGTAGAGCGACATGAGCACCTCTGCGTCCTCGCCGATCTTACACACCACGTTCTTYAGAGTCACAAAGAGGGCGAACGCTGGCGTGGAGGCAAACTTGGCTTGCCTCGTCAGATCGATATTCTGCTTCTGAGACTGGCAGGAAAACAAAAGGTATCGCAGTGAGTACTGAGGAGCCATACAGTGCTTTTCACCACATGCAGCRAGGCCTCAGAGCTACGTATAAAGCTTGTAGCTGCAGAAAAGAAGGGATAGAAATGTCAGCCACAGTCTGCGTGCTGTTCTGATCCTGTGTTCTGATTGCTCTGATTTAGAAGATTACAGAAGATGAAGTCAGATGGCTGCAGGGCATTAAACACCTGAACCTTTCTGCATTCTGTCAACTGACATTCAAGTGAGACACTACTGAGAGTCAGACTGAGGCCATGTCTCCATTTTAGATGAAACAAGAAAAAATAAATAAATAAATAAATTTAAACAACAAAATGAAGCCAGGAGTTTGAAACACTGACATGCATTTCACAAGCTTCAATTCTGATAATTAAAATGCAGCGTTCAGCTGATGGACTTTCTTTCCTCTGTAATTTACGTGACAAATGCTACATTCTAGGGTTTTGCAGGCAAAGAGTGCAACAGAATTCTGCAAAAAAAATAAATMAAAAAGGGCAGCTAAAAAATTATAAAGCAATACAGAAAGAGTGAAGAATAATATGAGCTCTCATCGGTTCAATAAAAACAAAGTTTCTACAGTAACGCAGAACCTCCTACTTTTATTTTTGTACAAGCAAAGAACTGCATTCACGTCTGAAAGAGATTTCCAGATATTGAATCTTGTTTTTAGCTTCTGGTACCTCAGGTGCTGACAATCCAGTGTTTGATTGCTGGTGCTCGTGAGCAACCAGTGGCGATCCCATACCTCTGCAGTCTGAGATTATTTATTTATTTATTTATTTACCTTACCTTACCAGCCAAATCCCATTGATATTACAGATCTCTTCGTCAGAGGCCTAGGCCTGAAGGCAGCCTGCACATGCATTTTTTTTTTGGGCTGAGGGAGGAAACATGCRAACTCCACAGAGGAAGATTTCAGCCCAAACCAGAGTTCAAACCCAGGACCTGCGAGGCAACGTCCAACCCAGCAGAAAGATTCTGCATTACAAGTTCAGGAACTGATAAAACCCGTTACCTGTTTTGAAAAGTTAATCGTGTGCTTCAGTTTAATAAATGGGCTAAACAGGAGTATTGAATTCTGCTGAGGATGAATATTGCTGCTTATTTTACACACGCAGACACTGCAGTGTTCTTGATGCGTTTATTTAGATGCATTTCTCCTACCAGCACACAGGCAGCCAAAAAGTAACAGAGATAATTCATAAAATACTTTTTGTACTTTCTGCTCAGCAGCTGCRGCTCATAAATAAGTAGAGYGGGGGAAAAGGCTTTCATTTGTTGAATCAATGCTAGAATCTGCCTATTTGTTCATGTGACCATGCAAAGTCCACACTTTGTAAAGATGTAAACTTATTTTCCTAGAAAAACTGTGACAGCAGCTTATGAAGAAGCACCAGCACATGTATTCAAACTTACTCCATTGTTGTCAGTGTCATTGAAAAASAGATTTATTTTTCCTCACTACATCGTAATTGGACCTGTCTAACTGGCTGAGATTCAATGAGTCATAAAGAACAAGATCACTCTTTATGCCATGCTCATTCACACTGCTCACAACTGGGCTTTATTTCTCTTTTCTTCTGTATTTTGCTGTCTGTGGTCAAARCACAAGTTTRGCTGAATGCGGTTTAAGTGGAAGACGGGAGCCTATCAGAAGCTTACCTTCTCCTCTTGGATCCGGTCCTCTATTTGCTTGGAGGCTGCTTCGTGTGCCCTGAATAAGCTGATGGTGCTGGTAAGGTCTGGGTCCAGTATGTTTCCATCTTTGTCTCTGACCACCAGGTCCAGATCCAGATACCTGGCATAAAAAAAGAAGAAGGTTTTTTTTTTTAAATAAGTGTCAGAATACGCCCGGATTGATTTCACTCCCAGAGGGCCTCGGAGACAACAGTGTGCCGTCTACATGCTCTCATCAGCTCATCAGTGCCCGCTTCTGCAGAGGCAATTTTTCTACCTGTTCACGGCTTTAGCTGCAAATTGAAGCTTCACAATTTTCATTTTCAAATGATTTACTCGTCTCACTGCAGACACCAAGAGAGCTGTCACTTCATGATGGAACACGTAGCGTTTCGCTAAAGCTTAATCCCTCTAGTTTGTTCTCGATCTAAGTGATGACCTGTCATTTTCTATACATTGACATTGCTGACCTACCCCAGCTGGAATAAGTTTTATAATCCACAGAGGGGGAAAAAACAATAACTGCAATAACTGGACACTCACTTGTTCCCATAGTCTATCTTAGAGGTGACCTTCTGTTTGAGCTCCGTCAGCTCGTCCTGCGGGAGCGTGCCAGACAGAATCTGGGACCGCCATTCGATGAGGTCGTAGATCATGTCGCGGACAGAGTTGAACATCTCGCGCTTGTCCCCCTTTCAGAGAAAAAATTGGAAAGCTGAGACACAAGAAGAAACGTAAAAAATGGCAAACTCTACTTTGTGTGAGTATGGCTGGACATCGAGTCTCGAGTATCGACTGGAACCAGGAGGATGCTACTAAGAATCAGAATTGGGAATCGTTCAAATTCAAACGATACCCAAACTTAAAGGGGCAATATTATGCACTTTCCAAGCTTATATTTCAATTTTATACTAAAATAAAGTAACTATGTCACATTTTCAGCTTATGAAAGAGCTACATATTTGTAAAAATCCCCAAAACAGTTTACATCTCATCTTGACAGTTTCTAAACGCCTTGAAATGGGTCTCTGTCTCTTTAAGAAAATCCAACCACTTCGGACACGCCCATTTCAGCACGTAGCCTGCCGAAGTTGAGGAGCGGTGGGGGCGCTCTCTGCCATGAGGAAGTCGGCTTAAAGACGAGGAGGAGCTTGTCCCAAAAGGACACAACCCATAGGCGTTTCTGGTCCCAAAAACCATTTCTGGTCCCCACCTGTCGTTTTGCTCCTCAGCATGGCTTCCTAAAAACGCTGAAAGGATTTCTCAAACATGCATGAATGAGTCAAAGCAAGGCTTTGGGCATGTTTTTATGAGAGTATAACATTATAACATGATATAAAACTCAAAAAAGTTGATTTTACATGATATTGCCCCTTTAAAAGGTAGAATGTAACTCTTGTCAGGAAAAATCATTTCCTTCCGCTAGGAGGAGCCTATTTTTTTCATARATTATCTGTTTCCTGCTGTCAGGACATACTGACAGCTTCAACAAATATGCAAAAAACATCTATTATTTTTTAGTAATATTATTATCTTAGGTTTCCTACTGCATCTTTAATTATTTCTGCAAGACCTCAGGGATGTATGTAATATAAACTCTGTAGTTATAGATGAACTAAGTTGTTTATGTCTGTAAGCAGGTAATGTTACTGCGGCTTCGGCCAATAATAATAGCTTTAAAAATGAGAATCTGAAGAAAAAAAAAATCCGCGAAGATAAATCACCGATTAGTAGTTCCAGATACGATGACATTTGATCTGTTAACGCCTGGGCAGCTTATGTCACATTATATTAAACACAGTTCCTTCCTCACACTGAGGATGAACAGGCTGACTCACCACATACAAGTCCCTCCATATTGCGGCCCACTCCCGCAGCGTTGTGGTAACCTCCTGAACCAGGGGCAGCTCGGTGGGAATGACGGTCTCCTTTTGCCTGCGGTGACAGGACAGAAATCTGAACCAGTGGTTCTGGTCCGACCTCTTTTCTCAACCCTAAAAATTTGTGTTCTTACAGATATTCTTCAAAACACGGTTAAACATTTGTCTTGACCAAGCTAAAGCAAATAATTGCCAGACCTGGACCCATATTTGAAAGCAGTCAACATTAGAAGCCCCGCTACTGACAACAGATTGGAAATTTTAAAAAGCAGTTCTGAGGTACTGACCCGCTGCCCTCAACCGTGGCATCTTTTACGTGTATATAACAAGCAGGAAATATGCCCTGGAGGAGAAAATAAAAAAACGCATATAGAGAAAATAAAAATGCATCATCAAATAGTCAAGACAGAAAAACAATATTTTAAATTATATTCATCTCAACAACTCATTTAGGGTTTTACATCTCTGATAGGAACTTACCTTTTTTGATTTTCTCCTCAGCCTATAACCTCTGTACCAGCCTAATGGAGCAAAAAATTATACACAAAACATATTAATTACTTTTTTTGTTCCTTTTACCAACATTGTAAAGATGTAGGCTAAAAACAACCTAAAATATTCTAGCTTATTAGCTATAATACCTATTTATGATGACTTTAGCTATAATTTTAGAATAAAGATTAAGGGAAATGCTTTCATGAAATGAAATTAAATAAGATTTTTAAAAAAACTACAAAAACATGTAAACACCTTGTCATTATTAAACAAAAATAACCCAAAATGCATAAACAGTTCTAGATAAAAAAAACTTCACAGCTTCCATAAAAAGAGCAGCCGGTAGCCTGAAGCTGCTAATCCAATACATTGATTGATTAATCATCAGCATTTCTATTAAAGGCAGAAAATTATCTAAATTCTAAGAACTGCTGAAACCAGATAAGACTGAAGTACTGGGTCAGACCATCATGATCCTGATTGCTAATATCTTAGCTAAATTAAAAAAAAACATAAACAAAAAAAGGATGAACAGGAACTAAAGAGAACAACAAAGTCCTGTTGGACTCAGGCCTGTCAGCTCCCATCATGCAACAGTCGGGCCGTTCTCACCTTCATACGTTTCAAGAATGTGCACTGTGTCGCCRATCTGGAGCGACAGCTCCTCTTCTCCCCGGGCATCGTAGTTATAGATCGCTTCAAACAAAAACAAAACAGGACAATGTTAAGAGAGGAAGCTTTCACAGGAAGTGGGAAAAAGGCAATAAAAATCCCTCGTGGCACTAATTGTGCCATGTGTAGTTGTAAGTATCACACGTATGCGGGACGTCCACCCACGCAGTCTGACACTGTTATRGTTGGACTTGGCACCAGTTGGGCTGAGATAAACACTGATTTACCACTTACTGAGGAGATATAACCAGTAAAGCACAGATGATGGTGATGAACATATTTGCTAAGAATAACAACCAACAACAGGCAGAAACAAGAATTATTCCTGTTATTTCTATCATTGCTTAAGCAAAATGTCTTTAGGTGGACCTCAACAAAACTCATTTGAAGACCAMTTTCAGTAATCAGACACATCTCTGCAAACTAACCCAACTAACAGCAGGCACTGTGGAAAAACCTTAACACTTGCCACTTTGGTTGATGGCTTTACCACAGCAAGAGTTCCTTTCAATGCTGAAATGCTTTGTTTTAGTAAAACTGCAATTATAACAATAAACTGTTGCACATAAAATAATGTTACTATCGGCATCACTTAATGACAGGCAATCTTTAGAGTTTTTCTTAATTCAGTAGATTTTAATATGTATGAATATTAAACAATTATATCTATGTGCCAAAAACAAACAAATCAGTTTTATACTTCAGCAATTGMCTGGCTTAATTTCAAGTAATTGACCTTTAAAAATCTAATTAGCAGACCTCTACAATCCACAGTTACTATTAACTTATTGAGCACCTGAGCACTTGTCAACCAACAAACACAAAGACGTCAGGGTACGCAGTTCGTGAACACGTTTAACACTGACAGTACAGAATGTGTAGATGGAAACAAAACAAGTAATTCATGCAGCGAAGTCCTGCTGCAGGAATGCACAATGGGCCGGCTGAACAGAGGCTTCCAGAAGTAAAACCAGCCTAATTTAAAAAAAGATCATTACTGCAGGCAGAGCAGTCTTCCCAGCAGGTTAAAACTGTGAGTGAATTAACCATTTTTCCCTCACAACAGCCTGACACTCGAAGAGCTCATTATAGTTCATTAGAAGCATCAGGTGGGACACAACGTTTTTTATTTTTATTTTTTTGGTGTGTGGATGTGTTTTGTCACTATTAGCTCTAGGGTGCTTATGCTGGACAATTATGCAGAACAAAACGTTTCAGCTTTAGCTGCTTTTGATTTTGGAGTTCAGTCATGTTATGTATTCTGCTCCCACGCAGTCATTTCCTGACGGATCGTTTAAGAGCATGAAGCCTGTCACCTTTAATTAACTAATAAGGCAAAGTTAGCATTTTAAATACTCAGTTATTTGTGATTTACGCTTGATTATTTCAAGAAAAACAACCGAGTCATTTTATGATTGATCTGTTACTGATCCTGTTGCTTAAATTTCTTCATCTGTACAAAGTGGAAAAATCAAAAGAACAAAGCAGGGAGCCGAGTCACGCCACAATTACAACTCATATGCAGATGATACTAACTGAAGAAGTAGGCTGAAGAACCAAAAAGAACATGATGGGGAATTTATGAAACATAAAACATTGCAAAACTAAAGCTTAAAAAATACCATGCATCTACGTTTTGTTTTGTTTTGTTTTGTTTGCCTATCAGGTCACATCATTTGATGAAGAGCAGGAAACGTTGTACGTCGCCTGCTTCATTCAACCCTGTGTTGTTTTGTTGTGAATATTCGTGTGCCTGTCCACGGTGCATTCTGTTATACCCCCCCCAACAACAATCCTGTGAGCCCAGCGAATCCACCAGAACGCGAGCCATGGGCTGACAAAGGAACAAAGGCTTCAGGAAATTAATTCATTTGTGCCAAGCTGGAAAAAAATTTTAAAAAAAAGGTACCTACAGGGTAAGAAAGCAACAGAGCAATCAAAACAGAGGTGGGATTATTCAATGATGAGTCGTCAGAGGAGCAAAGTCATTGTACAAGTAATTAAACTACTGTTAGGAGCAGCTACAGAAGCCTTTAACGCCATCAGATCCATCTGTGTGTTTGTTTAGAGCCAGCTCCTGCTGATTTGGCATCTCATTTTAAAAAAAGAAGCAGGTGATGAGAGGGAGTACCCGACTCCTACGGAAGCGCTATATTTCATCAGTACATGATAAACCACCTCTCTCATCACTTCCAATGAAACCCTTCAATATCAAACAAATGGGATCTGAGGGAACCGTGGGGTGGGGGTGGGGGGGAGGGTCCCTCTCTGGGTATGACTTCTCAAAATGAGCACGCAGGCGACGAGATGATGACTAAATGACGGCCATCAAGCACAACCTCGGCGATGATTGCGCAATTTAACACGGAAAACCAAAAGCGATTCCAGTCACGTGGGAGCCTCAATGACAGCTCTGATTACTCATAAACCTATATTTGCATATCAGAGTAAACTGATGTCAATTAGGGAGCAGTGAGGGAGAAAAATAAATCCATCAGAGGCAGAAGGCGACGAGAAGCAACGGGAAGTGGACTACATATTTTCTTGAGTGTGGCACGCCAATGATTTTGTGGAAACGAGATAAACAGCAGCTTCGCTGGTTGGGGGCTCCTCGCCATTCATAACCCCCACTGCGTAAGGGCGTGTAAACTCACTGAACATTATCATCATAGGAAACGAGTGAGGAATCAAATTACAGAACTATCCACTTATCCTGCATACATCTACGCCCTCGCCACAATTATAAGAAGCCTCATCTAAACACTGGACTGATTGTAATTCTACACTTTGAGCTCACTAATGACCTACGCTAATCTACGTTGAGTCTAACATATCATTACACACAGAAGATAATGCAGCACGCTGACGGGGGACGGGTAGAAAAGGAAAAGTGCACAGAAAATGCTCGCCGGAGAAAGACTGATGTTTTTGGCATTAAGCCAGACAGGAAACCYCAGACAACAAATTTCTACAGGAGGAAAACCCAAGAGCAGAGCGTGAGGCAACTCTGCCTCCGACTGGACGTCAAATTGCAACTTCAGACTAAACAAGAAGAGTGTGCGTGTGTGTGTGTGTGTG